TTCAGGCTGTCTGAAAAGAGCACAGGAATTACCCGGATTTGATGACATTGTTACAGGCTAGCTGCTTTTGGTCATTTCTAAAGAGGCCTAAACTGAAGCTACCACCAGACATACAAAGGCTCAGTATTTTGTTCCTGACCACCTAAAACGTATAGTTACCCCAGACTGTATTTTATAATGCATTAATTACATGGCCTTTCAAAATTAGTCGCCTCAAACACAGGTAAGAAGTGGTAGTGGGACTTATTTTCCTCTTGTCTTAAATCAGAAAACCACTACCAACTAAAAAAAAACCCACCTTATTATCTGAGGAAAAACATAGCATGAGAGTCTCAGTTAAATGCCTCATGCCAAAAAACCAAACAAACCAAAAAACACAAACCCAGAAGCTTGTATTTTCAAGACACGTTTTCTCCTTTGATGAAATCTGTAACGTGTCACATGTATGTGGTCATTGCTAACACGCGACATGAGGAGCCCCGCTCTGACTCCGAATTTCTCAGAGGAAGGCAACAGGGTGTCCACAGGGTCACTGCACAACAGAGATGTCACCCCTATTTCTAAGGGAATGGGAGGAAGTAAGAGCCCAAACCAACCGTTTCAGATGTCTCTTTCCTCAAGCTGCTCAGACTGCTGGACTTCTGCAGCGAAGAAGTTCTGAAACAACAACATAAAACCCAAGCCAAGTTACTGGAATTAATTTTGCTAAGATAAACACACTCTCAGGAATCAGCTTTAAAGAAAGCAGTATAATACATGATGAGATGTACTAAAAACAAAGACATTTTGAATTAAGGCAATCAATGCACTAATCGGAGCCCATGCAATTTGATGAGATGCTCCACATTGTAATTTCTGCTGCTAATGCTTCAGTGACATGTGCCTACCTTTGGCTATTTTTGGCTTCTTTTTTAGCCTTATATTTTCAGAAGCACAAGCAGAAGTTACACAGGCAAAGGAAGTGATATAAACAACAGCTATGAAAAACAGTATTTTTAGCAACAGGCTTCTGACTAATTTAATCCTTAAAGAAGCCAAGCATATTAAGTCAAGCATGTGCATTTTAGTATTTTATTTTCCATCCCATTTTCCATTTCAGACCAGATATCCCCCAATTTCTGGTGGGACTTACAGCTAGAACACTTAAGTCTGGTTGAAAACAAAGTTACCGTTAAAGTTTTTCCTGCAACCCGGTATAAATTAAGAGTAACCACTGCATTTTACAGTCACCTATCTTTATACCAGCATAAGGAGAGTAGAATTTTGCTTTGGGAATATTCTTGTGGCACTAAGTCACTCGAAATAAAAACAGCTGTGGAACCTCACACTGTGCACCAGACAAGCCCTGTTGACTTAGGCTCCTCAATAACAAATCGCTTTGACTCAACTTCAAGCTCATAAATAGTCCCCCCTTGTCTCCCTAGGGAATATGGCTATGCAGCAGAAGTTAAAATTATTTCCTCATCGTAGTCAGCTGGTCACCTTTCCCCCACTAGCAAAAGAAGAAAGCAAACCATGGGCACATGTACCATGAAAAACTGTAAATTTCAAAGTATATTGACAGTCTACAACCCAATTAGAGATGCTTCACCATGTAGAAGAAGTTAACTGCACAAGTGCACAGGTAAAGCATTGGAAACTAATCGTCACAAAAACATAGGACATGAGCCAAAAACTACCACCACTAAATAGCATCTTAGCTAGAATTAGCTGATGTATTTACATGTGTATGTAAAGTATGGGAGTGTGTTGGGGGGGGGTTTCAAGCTGGCAATCACATAGAAATATGTTTCCTAACGTTTTTGATTATGATACTTACACTGGGCTATCACACAGCTGAGTTTCTGGGAAGGAACCTGTTGATTTTCCTTCACTGTAAAAACAAAAAAGATATGAAAAAAGTAAGGCAGTTGGGAATCCCATCCGAACACCATGCTGATACAGACACCCTATCATCTCAGCCTGCTTTAATCCTGTTTTCACTTCAGCTGTTACGGTACTATAAAATATGGCAGATTTTTCCCTCTATGGTGGCAAGTCTTGTAAAACATAAAGGACAAAGGTGAGCTCAAGGGCCCCAGGAAAGACAACTCACACTGTAAGTTGATGACAATACCGCACTATTCAGCTTAACTAAAGGCAGAGGTTTTGGCATATGCAGGGTCTGCAGAAGCTGAGTAGTGGAGGTCACTGGCTCCCTGCGAGTCACCCACAGCGCTGGGCATTTTGCTGCAGGTTAGCACTTTGTTTCGCTTTTTTTCAAGATGGGACACAAATGAAGTCCCTGCTGGTGATGGCTAGAGCTGCATGAGGCACAGCACAGCAGCAACCAAGCTAAGCTGGTCTTCTGCATAGGATGCTTTCCTTGACTGGAACTGGAAAAAAATCACACATCAACTTGTGCTTGAACTGTTTTTTCACAACCCCACCCCAGCTTCTGTGGGACTCTGTGCCTACACATTTTGTCCATCTTTCAAAATCTCAGGTAGGGGTCTCATAACAACAACTGAAGAAATATCATCCCATTTCATCACGTCAAAGGACGGCAGCAAGAGTAACTCTCCAATCTTTTGAGACGTCTCTTGGGTTTCCTTCTGGGGCTCCATTAGCAGCTCCAGGTTAGAGCCAGACAGTCCTTTTGTTGCAGTTTTGGCAGTGGCTTACACCAATTCTTAGCAAATGTGGAAAATGTCTGAATGCAAATCATCAGGAATGCATTTGTGCTAGCACAGTCAACACTATCTCAGCCAGACCTAGATGATGTACACCTAGATAAAAATAATGATTCTGTGCCCTTCCTTACATTAGATCAGTTTTTCTCTCCTTCTGTTCATTTCTTGCAAAGCAGATGGTATAGAGTGTGAGTGCTGCTACAAGCAACAACAACCAAACCAATGCTTGCTCACTGAAAAAGATTTAATCAACGCACTTTAGAACATAAGCTTAGGTTCGCTACAGCTAGTCAAGCGAATGCTGGCCTTGTTTAACTGACTTGATGACTTGACAATATAGTAATTGACAGACCATTACCCTCACTAAACATCACATACTGAATTTACAATTGAAAAATACATGGAAACAGTAATACCTCATTTCACTTGCAAGATCTGGCCTAGGCTGTGTTTTCACTTTCTCTGCAACAGTTTCTGAGTTCTTGGATGTTGATGAAAAAGAAGGGATGGAAATCTGTAAAATACTGGTGTGGATCTGTAAGGAATTCTAAAAAGAATGAAGAAGACATTTTACACTGTTTTGAGCTGAAATTAAGCAGTCATAAAATGAAAAAACAGCAACAGAGAAACTATGAAAAGAAGGATCTGAAATACAATTTTTAAAGGTGATTTTTTTCTTTCTTTCTATTATAATACAGTCCTGGTTTACTACATGAAAGATGGCACTGAAGATAAAACATTAATCACTGCACAGATAAGCTACAGCACAGACAAAGCTCTTACAAGTCTCTGAAAGCTGCCTGCTAAATCTATCTCTACCGCAGACCCCATGATTTCAGGTTTAGTCCTGTCTTCAGCCACTTAGAGAATACCAAAAAGCTGCTAAACATTTAATTTAATTTAGTTTTCTTCCTAGTGTATTCATGCTCTTAAGTAGTCTCTGTTTTGACTAAGAGCTTTATGAGAGGAGATTTAGTTTTACCAGTGGAAAATGTGACTGTAAAAATCAGAGATTGGACAACAATCTACTTATCATTTAACTGAATGGATGTAATGATCATTGCATCCTTTTAAATATGACAGGGTATGTCCCAACATGTTTACTTGGGAGTTCCTGACAAATTAATGTAGTTCCTAAAACAGCTACATTTGATATGAAAAATAATTTCTGTGTTTGATAGGAGAAGTAGTTTAGACACATTCTTGTAATAAATACTGCTATTTGCTGTCTCCTGGTCCCATCTGATGATGAAGCAAAATAAATTTAACTGAACTCAGATGAAACTACTCAGCAGCTTTCACAAGAAAACGACATTCTCCAAAAGGATATGGAACATTACTAAAAACCGTGCAATCCAGAAAAAATCTTTTCAGAAACCTGAATTTGGGCATCTGCCATGTGAATCCAGCACAAGCAATGTTTTCAAGGAGTAATGGCATTAAATAAGGAAGAAAAAATGTGCAATCTAGAAAAAATCTTTTCAGAAACCTGAATCTGGGCATCTGCCATATGAATCCAGCACAAGCAATGTTTTCAAAGAGTAATGGCATTAAATAAGGAAGAAAAAAGGATACCTCTTCGTGAATATTCATGTTAAACTCATCGTGGATTGGAGATGCTGTTACTGGGGTTGTGGATGGGCTTTTTTCTGGCTCAGTCAGACTTGGTGTGTCCAATAAAACCGTGGAAACAGACCCTGAATTCAGGAAGTCTTCACTGTCACTTTCCTTGCCTGAAGGGAGAGAAGATGGAACTTGTTGGCTTTACTTTTGGATACACACTGACCCTCACTCCCATGCAAGGTGCCAACTGGCGTGCTCATTTATGGGCCAAAAATGGAAGAGCCTAGGATTATTTTTTTTTTGGACAGACTACAATAGGAGAAGAGGAGTCATTGCCCAATGTCGGTTCCCAATTCAACCACCACAACACAGCACAGTCAGAGCAGAGGGAGGACCCATATCTAACAGCAAAAGGCCCAGCAAATGCCCTCAGGGCATTTAATGGGATCAGTTTCAACAAGCTGAATAAACTGGAGTAGTTTTTTT